CTCTCGGTTCGCCAGCAGGCTGTGTGCCTGGCCCGGCTGAATGGCTGAGACACCTGCCTGTGGTTCCCTGGCCCACATTCCACAGGGAGCCCTTTGTCGCAGCCTCGGGGCTCGGGCTGGGCAAACAGGGCCGGGGCCTCCACCTGAGGTCTGTGTGCCTTCCTGGCAGAGCTCGGCGCGGAGGGAGGAAACTGGGCATGGGTGCCACCTGCCCTTGGAGCCTGCCAGGGCCCTAGGAGCGCCGAACAAGGCAGATTTCGACATAATGAGCTGGGTACTTTTCGCCACAGGGAAGGGGCAGAGCAGGGAACAGGGTCCAACTAGGAGAGCAGGAGGCCAGCAGCCCTATTCTGAATGCTCAGGGGGTTCCTAAAGAGATGGGGCGGACAATGGGGTGGGCGGGTGAGAGGGACGCACGACTCCAGAGCACCTGTTCTGCACACACTTGTCTACCCGCCTTCCCCAGGGTCCAGCTAGCACAGGAAGGATTGATGGAGCCATCAGCCCGGGTACGGGGCGCTTCGGCCTGACTGTGTGAGTTTGAGCCCGGCTTCCCCCGTTTACCGCCTGCGTGACCCCGGGCAAGTTACTTCATCTCGCCCCTTACTCTGTAAAGTGGGCAGACAAGCGGCCTCTGCCTCCCGGGAGCGTGGCTGAAGAAACCCAAAAAGGCAGCTCCCGCTGCTTTTGTTACTCTGTGCATCACCTTCACAACAATTTTAGGAGCGCCGTCTTTGTCGGCCCGGTTTGTTTGTTTGTAAAAGGGGAAACGGAAGCCCACAGGGCACAGGGACTCCTCCCTGGACACCCAGCCGGGAAGCAGCAGAATCTGGGTCCCGTTGGTGACAAGGTCAATGCTCCTTCTCCTTAAAGCCAACCTTTTAGGGACCAGGACCTTACAGAAAATCGGACAACAGATCCTCTTGCCAAAGGGGTGTGGGCGCACGTGCACGCCCCCCGGGGGACGTTTCTGGGTGTTCACGGCCCCTCTGAGGCCAGCCCCAGACTAGGATCCACGAAGACAAGGTTTCATGGATCCTAGGGTACAAATCCCTGTCTCTTATCTTGCTGTGTTCTGGAGAGCTTTCTTTTGTTCTAAGAGGATTATCATGTGTTTCTTTGGGAAAGAGTGCTGTGAAACACGACTGGGAATTACTCTCAGGCTCTCTGTCCCCCAAACTCGCAGCCTGCCTTCCTGCCGCCTCTTCACGACCCAGACGGGTGAGGCCAGTGTGGAGGGTTGCCACGTGGCCGCGAGAGACCCTTCCAGACCGGATACTCCCGCCCCTCACCCCAGCCGCACGCCCTGGTGTTTGTGGGCACCACACGTATTCTCTGGTGCCGCCAGATCCATTCTCTGTCCTGCTGTCCCCCGGAAGGTGTCCCTGGGGGACCTGGCCCTCTGGCTTTACAAAGGGAATGGGCCAATGGGAGACCCGGGGGAGAGTAGAGGTGGGAAGAAGGGGGGGGCCGCAGGCATTTCCCACCCCAGCTCCCCACCTGCTTTGTTCTCTGGCACTGGCTGTGTCCCTCTACACTAGGGGACTAGGTGGCTGTCTGCATCGTTTCCTCCCTCTGCCCCTGCAGGCCCTGGGGACGGGACGACGGGGGAGTGGCAGGTGTGTGGGGTGGGGGGAGTTGCTCACCTCTGGCCCCTGCCCACACCTCCGCATTACAGGCTCTTCCTGCCAATCCTTGGGGTCAGTTGTGTTCCCTGGTGGGACCCTGCCCGTCTACCCTTAGTGCTGGGCGGGGGGCTGGTAGCACTGACTTGCACATGCTCGGTTAGCTCAGAGTCGATGACCCCTTCCGGAACCTGCGAGGACAGTGTTCCTCCAGGAACGAAGGGGGTCTAAACACAGAGCTTGGCTGACCTTCAAAACTGACCTCAGGGGCCTCATATCACCTTTGCGCTTGAGCCCCCTCACCTGTAAGTGGGCACACCGTGCCACGCACCCCACACGGCTTCTATGAGGATGCACTGTGTCAACACCAAAGGGCCTTATGCCGTTTTCTATCACGATCTATTACTCACCCCCTCCATTTCTGGAAGGGACCCTGGAGATTCTACGTTCAGGATCTGGACGAGTCCGGACGAAGGCAGCCGTGCAGTAAATGCTCACACACCCCACATCTAATAAAGGCCCCAAGCTTCTGAAAAGCGGCATTGGCTAGTATCGGGCAGCACGGGATGGCAGGGCGGGGTGGGAGGCTCCACAGCCGGCCTGCTGTTCAAACCGGTCACTCTCCAGCTGCATGACCACGGGCGATGCCTCAGTTTCCCCGTCTGCAAAACGGAGCCAGCAGGGCCTCGAGCGGCTGCAGCTCCGGGAGGAAACACAAGGCCACGCAGGTCACAGACTGAGGGCAGGCCCCCTGGCGCAGAGCGAGTCCTTAATAAACGGCAGGGGTCACGTGTCACCCCGATGCTGGCTTGGTCTCAGTCCTCCCGTCCGTAAAACGGGGCGAATCGTGCCCATCTCGTGGGGTTGTTGGGGAACTGATGGCAAGAATCGTACGAACCAGCTGCAGCCTCCCACTGCTGCCAGGACCGCACCTGCCCCTGTGCGGGCCGCAGGGGCAGCCGATACTCGGAGACGGCAGATCCCGCAGAAACGCTTGTGGCCGAGGCTTTCCGCTGGGGTGAGGCAATAATGCTGTCTTCGGAACTCAATTTATTGAAGGGGGCTTCTCTCCCACGCAGGGCAGAACTGCTGAGCCTGCACTCTGCCGGCCCTGGGGGCGGGCGGCGGGGAGGACCGGGGAGAGTCCCTTACACAAACATTTGCCGACGGGTGCATTTGGGCCTGTCAATGGCTGTCGATAAGGACGGGTTCCCTTTCTGCGCGTCAGGATTTGGGGCCTTATTGAGTCGTAAGCTGGGGACTGTGTGCTCAGTCCTGATTCCCTCCAGCTGCTCGTTCGCCCCTGCTCGTATGTTCCCCAGCCTCAGACGGAGGGCCTGGCACACAGCGTGCCCGGCAACGGGGGCCCAGCCACGAACCCGAGGACCCCGTCTGCATGCCAGGGAAGGCATCAGTCCGGTGAGGATAAAAACCAAAAGAAAGAAACTATCGCGTGGCAGGGAAGGAGAGGAACAGAGGGAGGGGCCATGACTGATACCTGAGAAGGAGGCCTGGGAGGGCTTCCCGGGGGAGGTGTCATTTGAGCTGGGCCTTAATGGCTGAAGAGGCACAGCCTGATTCAAAACCACTGGAGGGCCAGGCATCGTGAGCAGAGGGGAGAACACACGGGAAGTCACAGAACACCACGTGGCGTGTGGGGAGGGTCGGTGGGCCGGGAAAAGGCCACCGGAGCAGGCAGGGGCATGTTCTGAAGGGTCTGGCAGCCTGGGCTTCAGTCCCAGCTCAGAGTTCTTAGCACACTTGACCGGGCTGTAGTCTCGCATCCCCCAAACGCTGCTCGGGAGCCCCGCTTGCTAGCCCAGGGCAAGACAGGTGAGGCCCAACCGGGAAACTCACGGCCCTGTATGAGCCACCTCCTCCCTGGGTTCTCCTAAGCGGAGCATGACTTGGTTCGGGCTCCAGGCTCTGTCCCTACACGGACGTGCGGGGGAAGGGTGGGCTGTGTAGCCAACGCTCCCCCAGACTGCCCCCAGGTGACACCGCCGGGCAGCGGGGATGGGTGAGGGGGGCAGTGGCAGGCGCTCGGGCGAACTGGTCCATCCAGGAAAGTCCCCGAGAGCCATGAACCTGCCGGTTGTCCCTGGGACCTCTGGGCAGAAGAAGGCAGGCCGCCACCTGAGACCTGGCGGCAGCCAGGGCGGGGGGCCACGGGGGAGGCCACGGAGCCCCTTCGCCAAGCCCAGCTCTCCCAGGCCGGCGGGAGGAAGGGACGCGTTCCCTGCTCGCTGAGGCTGCTTCCTGGACACCAGTCACTGAGCCGCCAGGATCCTAAGGTAGGAGGCTCACAGCTGCCCCTTTACGGCCTGGCCTTGAACGCACTTCTGAGATGGTGGGAGAGGAAGGAGATGGGATGCGGGCTCCAAGGTCCCTTGACTGCCCGAGCGTGGGGGTGTGCACTGGTGGGGGGGGATGGTTGGGGACCGGGGGATGGCCCGGTTCTTGGGGCTTTCCCTCATCCCCTCCTGACTCCCCGGCAACCTGCTGCAGAAGGTGAGGCCCCTTGTGAGCCAGCCCCCCACGCTCTTCACTTCATCTGTTCCGAACACGCTGGCCCTCCCCGTTTCTCCATGTGCCAAGCTCAAGGTCCCCGCTGCTCAGGCAGCCCTTTTGTGGGCACGAATGTCACCTCTGCAGGAGGCCTTTCCAGACCACCCGCTCAAGCAAGGTGCCGGCCTCTTCCGCTCGGACCCACGGCCCGGCTAGGCCACAGCCACATCACTAGCCCCAGGACACAACGCGGTGAGTAGTTTTGGGGGACGGACTGAGCGATCGGCGAGGACGCGTGATGCCACAAAGGCGTGTGAGCGGTGGCGTCACGACCTGGGACCATCAGGCCCCTGGCAGAGAGTACACGGCCCTCAAACCAAGTAACTGAGCAGAGTCGGGCTAAAAGGCGGCAGGGGGTAGGGGCTTCAGGGGAGGGACCCCCCCCCCCAGCTGGTGGCCGGGACGAGGACAGAAAGTGCCAGGCAGAGAGGGCTATAGATGGGGGGCAGTGCCAGCCGGTCGGCCCGCAGAAACCCGGCAAGAGGGAAAGCGGACGGGGATGATGGGACCGGGAGGTGATAAACGTCCTGACCCCAGTCTCTTCCTCTCCCCAGTTTCCTGCCAGGCCTCTCGATGACCCAGCCCAACCGGAAACCGAAGGGCACGGAGACCAGCGACGCTGTCCACACGGGTCGGCCTCCCGGTGCGGAACGAGGACAGGAGGCTGGGCAGCAGCTCGGGGGACAGCCGGGGGCGGGGGGGGCGCCCAGCACGCACTGGGAGGGAGACGGGGTACCCTGCCACGCGCGGCCCGGCCCGGCCCGGCCAGGGCGAGGGCAGTCCCCTCGGGAGCCCCGGCGCGCTTACCGTGGAAACGCTCGGCCGTCTTCCGCCTCAGGGCTGGCAGGCTCACTTCGGAATCGGCCCACTCCAGCACCAGCCTCCGGCCGTACAGGTGGGTGCTGTGGCACAGGGCGTGGAAGGCTCTCTGGGGGGGGCAAGAGCAGGAAACGGAAGTGTGAGTTAGCTGAGACCCACCCGCCGACGCCCCATCCCGCCCCCCTCTTGCCCGCCACCGCCTCAAGCTCCAAGGCAACGTTCTGGCCCTTGTGACACCTGCTCTCTGGCCGGGGTGTGGGAACTCTTGGCCACTTGATTCGATTAGTGGGTTACGTTCCCAGGGAGAGAGCTGCGAGTGACCGTGCCGTCGATACATCTGCCGTCCGGGCCTGTAATTGGGGCCTGGGCCGGCGCCTTCTTCTTTCTCGTGCCGTGTCCTGCCTGGGGAGGGCCACCCCATTAGCTGGCTCGCCTCCCACCAGGCCGTCAGGGGCACCGCGCGAGACAGCCGAGCCCTGCCTGGCTATGGTGACAGCCAGGCAGGCCCCTCACCGTCGCCTGGTGGCTCTGTCCTTCGCTAACCCCGCGGATTCTGTCCCCCACCTCTCTCTGCTGCCCTTGGCCAGGCCCTCGGGCCCTCAGACGGCCTCCGCCCTCTCGGGCGCCGGCTCCTTCTCCCGGCTTGGCAGCCCCGTTCTTCTCCCAGCCTTCCCCCACTTCTGGTGTTCGTGCTTTATTGAGATACGATATCCACACGTCACCCATCTGAAGCATACGGCGCTGGGTCTCAACAGATTCAGACTTGTGCGGCCGTCACCACGCCAGCTTCACAAGGTTCCCCACCCTCGGCCTTCCGAAGGAAACCCCACCCTCGTGAGCGGCCACGCCACCCCTCGCCCCGGCCCCCGGCCCGCAGCAAGCACCAGTCTGCTCTCCGGCTCTTTGGATCTGCCTGTTCTGGGCGGATACAGACGGAACCACGCAGTACTGGTGAGTTCCGTCCTAAACGGCGCCGGGGCCCAAGCTAAGTGGAGCCTCGCGGGGGGCGGGGCTCTTCCTGAAGCACTCCCGTGGTACATGAGAGGCCACGCGCTTGGCCTCTGGAGCCACCTTGCCCGGGCAGGTGGGCACGCTTCCAGAGACTGGGCGTGTTGATGAATCTCACCGGCCTCGGTTTTCAAATCCATGAAGCGGGAATGTCAACGGCGTGCCAATCTAAGGGTTCTAGAGGAGGCGAGGAGGAGTTTTAACACGGAAGGTACTTCCAACGGCGTGGGGGCACACAGTCAGTGCTCAAGAGAGGCTAGCTCTCCTTGTGGGGGTGCCGTTAACTGCAGGCTTATCGCACCTGCAACTGCCTTCTCTCAGCAGAGGGGCCTCGGGTCAGCAGTGGGTGCGCGTCAGCCCCGGAAGCCACGGTGGCTAACGGTGGGCACCTTTGTCTCTGCTTCTGGGCTGTGGCAGCACCACGAGGCACCAGGAGGGGCCATGGGGCCCGTCCCTCTTGCTTCCTCCGTGCCGCGGGGAGGCAGCGTGTGACCGGGAGGGCTCTGCTCCGGAACCGGTCCGGACTCGGGCCCTCAGCTGCAGCGCGACTGTTACCGGCTGGACCACGTTCTCCCAGACGAGAGCGGTCGGCGTCCAAACCCCTGGGGCCTCAGGTCGTGACCTTGTTTGGAGATCGGGTCTTTGCAGATGTAGTCAAGTTAAGACGAGCGCACACTGGAGAGGACGGGCCCTTTAACCTACCCTGACTGTGTCCTCGGAAGAGACGGCCACGTGGAGACACGGAGACGCACGGTAAGCGCCCTGCGGGGACAGAGGCCACTGAATGCCGCTGTCGCGGGAAGCCAGGGGAGAGCGGTGGGGAACAGACCTCCCTCAAGAGGGACCAAACACTCTTGGCCCCTCGAGTCTGGGGACTCCTGGCCTTGAGAATTGGGAGCCGAGAAATTTCGGTCCGTTGTGTTTCCGCGGTACTTTGCGACGGCAGCCGCGGGGACCTAGGGTGAGCCGAGTGCCCCACGATAGCCTCGGTCTCATCTGGACAACGGGGCCGGGGGTGGGGGGTGGGGGGATGTGTGGGATTACCACGCAGCAAGCCCGTGGGTGGCACACAGCTGACCACCCCCGCACGACCCACCTTGAGGAGCGTGAGCGGGAGGCGGATGGGACACGCATCTTTTTAAAACGAGACACGTGGCCGGATTAAGCAAAAAACAATTTGTTCTCAGATCCGCCTTTCCGAGAAGGGCCAGGTGCAGGCAACTTTTCCTTGCCACCCCCCCCCCCCTTTTTTTTCTCACTTTAATTTAAAAAAACTCTTTCTGACTGCCAGCGGAGCCTCTGCGTTTTTTTCCATGCGGATATAAAAATGCATCTGGACTCCGAGCCGAAATGGCCCATTCAGAGCTTTAAAACACACGCGTGCTCAGCTGGCGCGGCAGAGAAACAGCCTGACTGGGGGAGCCGGGGGTTTGAAGACGGGGGAGAGGAGTCAGTCGGGAGTCTGGTGTGGCGGGTACTCCGGCCCGGCGCCGGGGTCCCTGAGGAGCTGCGGTCCCGGGGACACGGGCGGGAGGGAGCGGCCACGAGGCAGCATCTGGTGGAAGCCGGGAGCCGCGGCGAGGACAGGGGAGCAGAGCCCGGGAGGCGGGCCCAGGAGAGAGGCCCTGACCTTGGCCTCCCTCCCTCTGTGCGGCCATCAGCCTGGCGTTTCCTTCCTGCCCCTGGAGCCCCGTTCCTGTGCCACACAGAGCCCGGAGAGGTCCCCACTCGCCACAGGAGTTGCTAAGAACTCCCTCTCCTGGCCTCCCTCCGACATCAACCCTTCCAAATGCTCATCTCCTCTTTAGAAGGGCTTCTGACGGCAGGAGGGGAGGTGGCACAGCCACTGAGATGGGGGGCTCTGGGCCCGGGCGACTTTGATTCAAATCCCTGCCGCACCACTTACAAGCGAGCTGTGTGAGCTGGGGCAGGCCGCTTAACGTCTCTGGGACGCACTTCCTCGAGAGGCGGCAGCAAAGAACGGATAGGAGTCCGTGGACTGTGAAGTCTAGCACTTACAGCACCACCGTGGGCTGTCATTCCTATTAAGGCTGCCCTCGGTTCCCCTGAGGCCACCGAAGAGCAGGAATAACATCCAGAGGGACACAAAAGCTCTTGTGCGTTTGGCGTCGGGAGTGCAGTGGGTGGCTCCCCCAAAACAGCAGGACCACCCTCCCGAGTTCCAGTCCCTTCTGGTCAATAGGAGACCAGGCCGCTTTCCTCAGTGCCCGCTGCGTTGGTGGTGACAGCGACTCGAGGCTAAGATCGGCCTTGGACAGTCAGTCCGGGCCTCACGGGGCTTTCAGGTGAGCGCAGGGGAAGGCGCTGAGGAACGCGGAAGGTTCCAGGCACAGCAGAAGGGAACTGCGGCCCTGGCCTCTCTGGCCCGGGCCTGCCAGCAGCTTCCTCCCTGGCCTGTGTGCCTCCTGAGACCCACGCTGCCTTCCCCGTGAGAGTTCTGAACCTCGGCTGTGGTTCTGAACCTCAGGGCCTTGTCCATCCTGGGGCGCCCAGGGGTCAGTGCGGTGAGGGTGTCTCGGGAGGAAGCAGGGAGTTACATGTTCCTGGCCGTGTGCTTCTCTCCAAATCCAGCTTCTTTCTGCTGCCTGTTTCCTTCCCTTGGGAGGAAAGGGCCGCCTTCGTCCCATGGATTATGGATCCCCTGGGTTAGAACTCGGAGCCCATGACCACAAGCTACTCATCAGAACGAACATTACTCTCCCGTTTCAACGAAAGGAACACAGAGGCACGGGCCGAGGTCTGCGTGCGCGTCAACCGCCTTCTTGTTTTTCCTTTCAGACTCCGTGCACTCCGTCCCTGGGCCTTTGTAACAACACCCGCCCTGGCCTCGGAAGAGCTCCCTCATCACAGCCGCCTCGGTGGCGGCCCAGCACAGGCCCCGCTCGCCTCACACAGACTGCCACCGGGCACCCTCCCCACGCCCTGCACACGCGGCTTCCATTGCGGCACCTGCCCCGTTAACGTGTGCCGGCCTCTGCGGCTCAGCCTTGAACCTTAGAGGGAAGGCCTCTGTCCCTGCTGCCCCTAGTACAGTGCTCGGGGCAAAGTGTGCTCAGGAGATCGAGTAGCTCCCCCTTCTCCGCAGGGGATACGTTCTAGGACCCCAGTGGGTGCCCGGACCCACAGACGGTACCGAACCCCATCTACGCTGTACTTTTCCTGCACACACACACCTGTGGTGAAGTTTAACTTCTAAATCAGGCGTGTGATGCGGCGTGAGGCCACGCGGCCCGGGGAGGAGGGCCATCTGCTTCCGGGCCACGGTTGATCGTGGGTAACGAACCACAGAAAAGGAAACCGTGGATGGGGGGTGGGGGGGGGGGCTGCTGTATTCACAGAGCCGTATTCAAGTTGGTCCTGGCTAGAGACGGCGGGCTGGCTTAAATAACCTGCCGTGGTCCCTCCACGTCCCTACGATACAGACCATGAAGACGCAGGAGCGAGGAGTATGTCGTCTCCGGCTGCCACGTGCACGGGACGGCCCGCCTTGCGGTTAGGACGAGACCTGGTGCGGACACGCTCTTGGGTCCGGCAACAGGGAGGGGAAGGCCTGCTCCTGACGTGTATGACTCTGGGGCCCTCGGGGACGGGAGCAGGTGCCCAAGCCACCAGGACCCGGGAGACCGCAGATCACCCGCTCGGCTCACCGTGCAACTCTAAGGGTGCGTTCACTTGTCCGGGAGCAGAATGCCATAGAAGGGGGGGCCTCTGCCCTCCGGAGCCACTTCCTGCCATCCTCTGTGGCAACAGGGCTGGCCGCTCCTACTCCTCTATCGGCCCCCACTCTCTGTGCTTTTGCAGGCCACTCCCACGGACCGCGTGACTCGGGCTCTCGCCCTCTGGCTTCCGCGTAGGTGATGCCCGGAGTCCTGGAGGGAGGGAGGAAAGGGGTGGGGGTGCCATTCCCCTGCCCCCTCCCGCCAGGACTACAGCTCCTGCCGGCGGCCCCTCCCCTCTCACCGGTCCCCCAGCCCTACTTATTCCTCCATAAATCTCTCCTAGACCATCGGGGGTGGGGTGTCTGCCGACCCGGGGGGCTGCCTGAAGTGCCTCTGCCTCGACCCAGGGCAGATGGGCCTT